TATGTATAAAAGTTACCTCTATCCTTGGTAAATATGATAACTTTTAAGTGACCAAGAAAAAGAATCCAGTGAAATAGAGACAATTCTTAATAAGTTGAAATGTTATTTTACATAATGAAATAAACTCCTTCTTTTAAACATAGAAAGGCCTAAGATTTTTTAAAATGAGTTTCTTCAGGGGCGCCTGGGTGGCGCAGTCGGTTAAGCGTCCGACTTCAGCCAGGTCACGATCTCGCGGTCCGTGAGTTCGAGCCCCGCGTCGGGCTCTGGGCTGATGGCTCGGAGCCTGGAGCCTGTTTCCGATTCTGTGTCTCCCTCTCTCTCTGCCCCTCCCCCGTTCATGCTCTGTCTCTCTCTGTCCCAAAAATAAATAAACGTTGAAAAAAAAAATTAAAAAAATAAATAAATAAATAAAATGAGTTTCTTCATTTAGTAGTTTTGTAGAGCTGCCATAACAAATGATCACAACTTGGTAGCTTAAAGTGACAGAAATTTATGATTTATTATTATTTATCAGTATCTTATAGTGTTGAAGGCCAGAGGTATGAAATGAAGGTGTTGGCAGCCTTCTGGAGGCTCTGAAGAAGAATCCATTCCACGCTTTTCTCTTAAGTGGCCGCTGGCTGAACTTGGTATTTATTCCTTGGCTTACGGCTGCCCTCCAGTTTCTGTCCTGGTCAGTCTGCTCATGGCCTTTTCTTCTGTCTCTGTGTTTCAAATCTCTCTCTCCTTCCCTGTGTGTCATTGGATTCAGGGCACACCTTAAATCCATTAGGGCACACCCTAAATCCAAAATGATCTCATTTTGAGATCCTTAATTCAATTACATCTGCAAAGACCCTATTTTCAAACAAGGCCATGTTCATAAGTGCCAGGGGTTAGAACTTGGACATATCTTTGGGGGGGGGGGACACCATTCAACCCACTGTGCTTCCTAGTGGAAAATATTAAAGAAGTGCATGAAGAACATCGGTATGGAGCACATGCCACGAGATTGCTTGCTTGGGTGTCCGCGTGCCTCAGCCAGTCACGCAGTGCCAGCTTGCTGTTTGCTGTTCACCTCCAGGTGCTTGTGTGAACAGTGGAGGTAATGCAGAAACGTGCTGAGCCTCACAGATGGCCAGGTTGCCAGCCTTTCCCCATTGTCCTTGACTCGCACACACGGAGCAGGTGGCCAAGGAGAGCTGTGCTCTTCCCAAGTGCATGAACACCCTACAAAGTCCAACCAATATGAGAAGAGAAGCAACTCTTTAGATCACTGTTTTCTGTTTATCACTACACCTAAAGTTTTGTAGTGGATTTCCCCTATTTCCAATACATTTTCCTTTAAAAAGTCATTACAGATATTTTTCTTACAGCACGGTTTTAATCTAAGTGCATTAGAACTGCATGCAAACCCTGAAAGCTTAACATTACCAAGGCCACTAAAAGGGTGGGAGAGTCACGGCTGCTTGTGAAGAAAGCTTTGGAGTTTAACAGGACCATTAGGGGTGCCTGGGTGGCTCAGGCAGTTGAGCGTCCTACTTCAGTCAGGTCGTGATCTCACGGTTCCTGGGTTCAAGCCCCATATTGGGGCTTTGTGCTGACAGTGCACAGCCTGCTTCAGATTCTCTGTCTCCCTCTCTCTCTCCCTCCCCCATGCATTTTCTCTCTCTCTCTCTCTCTCTCTCTCTCTCTCTCAAATAAATAAACATTTTAACAAAAAGTGAAAACAGGACCATTAGACAACTGGAGGTTAGACTCAGGAAAAGGCAGACAGCAGGACAGCTCTTTTACCCTGTTTCTTTCCTAGTCAATTTAATGCTTGTGTCTTTCTGCCTTGCAACACTCGCAGCAACTTTTAAAATATTTCATCTATATTTGACTGATAACAATCTCTCTCTCATATCACTTTTATGAAATGCCAGAGCTTACTTAGCTTCTTAAATTACATTTTCTGTTGGACTTACCCATGACATAATTATAAAAAATGTCTCTTCTTGATGAGAAAGCTATGGACAAAAAATGTTATCCACCACTTTTGTGTCCCAAGCAAAGGAGGCCTAACGACAACAGTTGTTATGATCTTGAGTTTTATTTTTATTTATTTATTTTTTTAAAATTTTTTAACGTTTATTTATTTTGGAGACAGAGAGAGACAGAGCATGAATGGGGAAGGGGCAGAGAGAGAGGGAGACACAGAATCGGAAGCAGGCTCCAGGCTCTGAGCCATCAGCCCAGAGCCCGACGCTGGGCTCGAACTCACAGACCGCGAGATCGTGACCTGAGCTGAAGTCGGATGCTTAACCGACTGAGCCACCCAGGCACCCCATGATCTTGAGTTTTAAATAATCAAACTTGAGACTCTAAAGTGGGGGCTGGCAAACATTGTTCTGTAAAGGGCCAGAGAATAAACATTTTAGGCTTTGTGGGCCATGTGGTATCTGTCTCAACTACTCAGCTCTGCTACTGCAGCACGAAAACAGCCTTAGATAATATTCAAAGGAGTAAGTGTGATTGTGTTCCAATAACACTTTATCTACAGGTAGTGGCTGGAATTAGTACACAGATCAGGGTTTGCTGACCTCTGGTCTAAAATATCAACTAGTTCTCTATGTTTCTACTATACAGATATATATATCCATATGGAAATACTGGGGAATTTAGCACAATTTCAGATTCTCTCTCATAATGTTGGAAACATTTTGGAAGTCTCTCTCATTCCCCGTTATATACCAGAGACTAGCATGGGGGTCTTGTGTTTAGTTTATTTATCAAATGTTTATTCAATGAATAGCAAATGAGTAAGGCCTGGGTTTTCCTAGCATGTCAATCTCTGCATAGTGCCCACTAGGACTTGTCCAGCTCTATTACACTTCAAATTGTTTAGCTGAAGTAATGAAAGTTCAATATGTCAAAACACTGGAGACCCTTGTATGGTGAGGCTCTCCTCTTTTTCTGTAGGAAAGTTACAAGATCTTTACTTCTGTTACAGATCAATATAGCCACATTACCTTTCTATAGAAAGAGAACAGAGATCTATATCTATCATCTATCAACTCTCTCTCTCTCTCCCTATCTCTCTCTCTCTTCTATTTCTATCAGTTGGTTCATTGATAGCAATGGCAATGATGAGACTCTGAAGCAACAAGGGGCAGGTGACAGCACTTTATTGCCAGAAGCCAGGGGGTTTCTATTATCATAGCAATAGGCAAAATTGAAGGGCAGCCAAGGGGGCTTGACCTGGAGGGAGATGTGGAGATGATTAATGGAACCTTGTGTCTCTAAAGGCAAAATAGATGAATAGCCAATTAGGGTGCTGCTTAATACATCAACAAAAAGAAGGCATATGAATAACAGATGGAGGGTGGTTGCCTCAATAGAAAGTCTTTATCTTTTTGCCCAGATCCTCAAATTTAGCAAGTTTGTAGACCCTGAAACCAATAGCTAAAGAGGTGGCCAAGGCCACAGGAGGAAGACTTTGAAATGCCACGGCAAAAACATACAGTGTTAGTTTCCCCCATTTTCCTCAAAGGAGACCTAAGATATTTACTTGAGAAAATACACACTGTGGAAAGAGGACTATCCAAATATTCTGAGGGTATTCTGTCTGAATTAACATTGATTTATAGGGTTTCGAAACATCATGGTACGGTGGAGGCATTGAGGGGCCAGGATCTGAAATAAACAGAATCCTGCCTAAATCTGACTCTCAAAGGCTCAGGAGGTTTGTAGACCCATCCAGGGGTCAAGTCCCTGGTCCCCAAATATATGATTGGAATTGACACATTTGGCTGTTGAAGGAAACCCACCTTGAATTCATTCAAACCAAATGAGACCTATCATAGTGGAGAAGGTGAAGTGGAAGCTTCTGAAACTGTACCTCTACAGTCCCATTCCCTCTATCTCCCATTCCCTTGCCAGTCCTGGATAAGATGGTGAATCAAACACCACTGTATTTGGTGGTGACGATGGGGGGTGTGTGGCAGAAATTAATGCTACTCTAAATGATCTTAAGAATGAAGTGGGAAGTGGTCCATATCATAGCTCCATTTAATTCACCAGTCTGACCTTTGCAGAAACCAAATGAATCTCGGAGAATGACTGCAGGCTACTGCAAACTCAAATAATAACCCCAATTATGGCTACTATGCTAGATGTGTTATCTTCGCTGGTGCAGATTAATATGGCCTCGGGTATACTGTATGACATTCTTTTCGATCCCAATCAGGAAAGATCAGAGAAAGGAACAGAAACTGTTTGTATTTACATGAAACAATATACATTTACAGGTTTGTTTGGGGCCTACGTTAATTTCTGTTGTTATAATATGATCAGATGAGATCTGAGCCGTCTGGACGTCCTACACATCCTGTTGATAAGGTGAATGAGCAAGAACGGCTAGCACTCGGAGACATTGGTAAGACATATGTGTTACAGTGTATAGGAGTTTAATTTGATGGCAACTGAGTGAACTTCCACCGTTGTAAAGTGTTTAGGGATCCAGCTGGGTCAGGCCAAGTGAGGATAACTCTTCCAAAAGACAAATTGCTGCATCTTGCCTTTGTACCAGAAAGAAGGAAACAAAATGCCTTTGGCTTCTGGTGCAACATATTCCACATCTAGGAATGTGCTCCAGCTCATATATTGAGTGACAGGAATAGCTCCCTGCTTTGAATGAGAACTGGAGCAGAAAGTCAGAATTGCAGTACAAGCAGCCCTGCTCCTTGGATCGTATGATCTGGCAAACCCTAGGCCAGCAGAGGATTAGTGATGAGAAAGTATGCAGTGTGGCATCACAAAACAGACCTCTGGGGTTTTGGAGCAAGACCATGCTGTCTGCAACAGAAACTTATATGCTTTACTTTTTTTTCTTTTGGGGGGGGGGCGCAAAAGCCGGGGGAGGGGCAGAGTGAGAGAGAGAATCTCAAGCAGGCTCTACACTTAGTGCGGAGCCCCACGTGGACTTGATCTCATGACTGTGAGATCATGACCTGATCTGAAATCAAGAGAACGATGCTTAACCAACTGAGCCACCCAGGCGCTCTGAAACTTACCAGCTTTTTGAAAAGAGTCCCTGTGTGTCATGTGTGTCACCTGTGTTCCGGTGTGTCACCGGAGCCTAGCAGAGGCAGAATTCTTGATTGTAAGAAACCAAGTAACCATGTGTCTGGAACTGTCCATTATGAGCTAGGTTCTGTCAGACCCACAGAGTCATAAACTCAGGCAGGCCCAGCAACATTCCAAAACAAGATTGAAATTGTGGGATCAAGGCTAAGCAAGACCAGAAGATATGAGTTAACTGCATGAGCAGGTGACTCAGATCCTCATATCACCCACCACGGGTGTACCAGCACCCGTCCCTCAGATCATTCCTACACTATGTGGGGGCTCATCTAACCAGCTTATGGAATAGGAAGAGCTTGAACATGTTTTATGGGCAGGTCGGCTTACTGTGTGGATGGAAACCAAAACGGGCAGTGATTTAATTACACTCAGAGTGGGAGGGGACTTGAAAATAGTGGTGAGGAAAAATGGTCCCAATGGACAAAGCTCAGAGTGGTGTGCCTGTTACTCATTCTGTGTGGATGGAGCAGTGGCCTGAGGTGAGAATGAAGACATACTCATGAGTAGAGGGGATAGTTTAATGGGTTGGTTGCAGGTCTGGAAGGACAAGGACTGAAAAATTGAAGCATCAAGGAATGTGGATGTATTTAAGGGAACGGGCATAAGGTGTAAAGGTTTTTGACTCGCATATTAATGGACACCAGAAAGCATCTCTCACAGAATAGGCAGAGAACAACCAAGTAGACACATGACCAGGCTAATGCGTCTTAGCTGTCTTGGAATTGGCATGATGAGCACATGAACAGAGAACCACAGGGGCAGAGACAGAGGCCATGCATGGACTCTATTTACTGACACTTTTCTGAAAGTCTAAACTGCCAGCCATAGAGACCTATACTGAGCTCCCAATATGAGCTCCCAATCATCAAGGAGATGATTTCCAATAGGTGATTTTCCTTGTGTTAGAGGATCAGTGTGCATCAGACTCATGAAACAACACATTTGACATTTTCTTTAAAAAAATCCTAGGAATTTTAATAACTTCAGTGCTTAATTTTAGTATCTTTAGTACCTTCAGTGGTAAGTCATTTCCTGGCCTTGGTCTCACGCTATTCAACTGAGTGGGGATAAATATAAATTGTACACATTAATGTAAAAAAAATTATAATAGTAAGCTTCCTAACACAGGGAAGGAAAACAAACTATGGTATCTTTTTCAACCATCGTTGGGACATTAAATCAATGGTGTATGCAAAATTGCTTAGCTTATATTAGGTATACAATACTGGGTGCTCCATAAATGTTAGTTGAGTAATTATCAGTAAGACCATTGACCTGGGTAAGTGCTTTAACAGATATTTATAGATATTGGATATTTAATATTTTAATTGGAATTGTTATAAAATGCTATTCTCCTTTTCTGTCTTAAAAAATTTTATAATTGCACTTTTTCTTACTAATTCTGTGTTAGGATATGGACATCAAGCATTGCCTAGAATTAATAATGGTGTTCTCAGGGCTGATGGCATGTGTAAGGCTGTGCTTGTCTTTTAACCTTTGGAGTCTCCTCTTCTCTAGTTGGTGTATTTGCTATTATATCCCTTATCCTCTGTTCCGATTCCTTACAGATATCAGAGGACATCAGAGTGTTACAGTCAAGACTGAAAGGAGTAAAACCTAGCCTAAATTAAGGGGGATTTACTAAGAAGATATTTGTGTTCTCATGGCAATGATGACTCTCTAAGCTCATGGAAAATTGAACTGGCATCTGGAAAAGCATCAGTAACAAGGCTATGTGTGTGTGTGTGTGTGTGTGTGTGTGTGTGAACACAATCTCTTTCTTTCCTTTTTTTCTATGTTCCATTCTCTTGCTCAATATGTTCATGGCTTAAAATGATTGTTCTAGCCCTCACTAAATTTAACTTTTTAGTTCAAATGTCAAATGCCATCTACGAAGTCTTTCTGGTTTTTAGTTCAAAATATCAAGGGATGGGGCGCCTGGGTGGCGCAGTCGGTTAAGCGTCCGACTTCAACCAGGTCACGATCTCACAGTCCGTGAGTTCAAGCCCCGCGTCGGGCTCTGGGCTGATGGCTCAGAGCCTGGAGCCTGTTTCCGATTCTGTGTCTCCCTCTCTCTCTGCCCCTCGCCCGTTCATGCTCTGTCTCTCTCTGTCCCAAAAATAAATAAACGTTGGAAAAAAAAATTAAAAACAAAACAAAACAAAACAAAATATCAAGGGATGAGAATGTGATAAGATCTCTAAACAGCTGATAAATGGGCTTATTCTATTTTTTAAATATAATTTATTGACAAATTGGTTACCATACAGCACCCAGTGCTCATCCCAACAAGTGAAACGGGCTTATTCTAGATCACCCTTTGTCAGAGAAAGAGAGACAAAGACCTGCGGTAGAGGGATTCTATGGCATAAACATAGCTGCCTAGTTCCACCCCTTACGCACTGGTTTATGTGTGTTTGGGGCAGTTCCTAGGGAAGGATCTAGAATTTGTAAACCTATTTTTAATCCTAAATTAGAGATGGAAAATTATATCTGGTCCTGCCAAAAATTGTTTTCATTTTCATCTTGACCAGTTTACATTTGAGAGAGCTTTCCTGCTTTGTATTGTATTCAGGAAAGATAACAAGGACTAGAGTTCCTAATATTTTCCCCTGACTTTCTGTGCTACCCACCAGAATTGTATGAAAAACAAGTTCTAACACTATTTCAGGGAAAAACAACATACTCATCCTAATGATGTTATTTTTCCTTAAGATCAACTTAGACAGAATGGTTGATCAGCTCCAAGGAACATGGAAATCCATTTCTTGTGAAAATTTTGAAGAATATATGAAAGAGCTGGGTGAGCCGTTTTTACTTTTATATTGTAGCCAGGAAAAATGGGAGACTTGATAACACAGACACTCGCTTTGTATGATATCAGATTAATCTTGGGCCCCTCCCTCCAATAGAAATATAAAAGCAATCACATAGAAACAATCGGCATTGGTTCAGAACCTAGATGCAGTTCTATGCAACATTAGTTTATAATCGGCAGAATCCTGTCCTCACGTAATTTACCATGGATTTACACAGATAAAACATACACGTGCCATATGCTCAATGGAAAATTATTTGCATAAGTTATTTAAAGCAAACGGTCATAATTATTTTTAAAAATGATCATTTCGCAAGCATTTGCTCCAAATCTTTAGAGGATCTTCAGAATAGATCCTGTTTTCTAGTTTCAGGTGGCTGCTGGCCCTCCTTAGTGTCCGGCCACCATTGTCACATTGTCTTCTTCTCTTCTAGAGTCTAACATCTCTTTTCCTTTTCTTTTTTCTTTTTTTTTTTTTTTTAATTTTTTTTTTCAACGTTTATTTATTTTTTGGGGGACAGAGAGAGGTAGAGCATGAACGGGGGAGGGGAAGAGAGAGAGAGAGGGAGACACAGAATTGGAAACAGGCTCCAGGCTCTGAGCCATCAGCCCAGAGCCCGACGCGGGGCTTGAACTCACGGACCGCGAGATCGTGACCTGGCTGAAGTCGGAGGCTTAACCGACTGCGCCACCCAGGCGCCCCTCTTTTCCTTTTCTTATAAGGAAAGTTTCTTACGATGAAATTGTGATTATCTTTAGGCTCCACATGGATGGTCCAAGATAAACTCCCGATTTTGAGATCCTTGAGTTAGCCATATCCACAAAGTCCCCTTTAGCACATAAAGTGATGCACAGTTTCCAGGGATTAGGGTGTGAATATCTTCGGGAATAATTATCTAATATATCACGACTTGTTGTGTTTCACATTGTGGGTTCATGAGGCATATTACGGTGTTTCTATAAAGTATTATGTATTATGTAACAATAACAAAAATTTATCCCTATGTGGACTGACACAGAAAATCTCCAAGATATAGAGATAGGGGAAAAAGTAAGTGGAATAATAATTTATATTTTATTTTAATTTATATTACTTTTATTTTATTTTGTTTTATTTATATTTATTTATATTTATATATTTTATATAATTTATATAAAATATATAAATTTATATAATATATAATATATATTTTATATAATATATTTATATATATTTATATATAATAATTTTTATATATTATTTATATATATAAATTATATTAATTATATAACTATAATTTATAATATATTTATATATTTATTTATTTATTTATATTTATTTAATTTATATTTTAAAAAATCCTATATATAGTGGCGGTGGTTGTATAACATTTACTTAATGCCACTTAACTGTACACTTTAAAATGGTGAAAATGGTAAATTTTATATGTATTTTAGCATAATACAAAATATGTAATGGAAGAAAACAGACTCTATATATGTGTACATATAAGAATGCAAGTGAAGAGATAAAGATGTTGAATAATTCATGCCAAAGGATTTTGTCTGTATAAGTGAGTACATTTTAAAATAGGGAGATGGTTCATAGCTTTAATCAAATTTTCGAAGAGGTTCTTCATGAACCAACAAGACCAGTAACCACAGGACTAAAGAAAAATGATGACCACCAGCCAAAACTAGAGACTAATTTTATTCTGCACAATATAATCTATTTTAACTTATAAAGGTGCTACTTACTTCAGATACTTGAATTCATGCAGCATTTAATCTGTTTAACTCACAACCCTAGTTAGTAAAGAATTATACAGCTAACATGAGTTTCCAAAGCCAGTAACGGATTTAACCATAATGTCCTTTTATCTGATTCCTAGGAATAGGAAGAGCCAGAAGGAAACTTGGCTGTCTGGCAAAACCCACGGTGACCATCAGTACACAGGAAGGTCTGATCACTATAAAAACCAGAAGCATCTTTAAAAATAATGAGATCTCCTTTAAACTGGGAGAAGAGTTTGAGGAAAATACACCAGGTGGCCATAAAACCAAGGTGAGGCCTTCAACACTCTTTTAGATAAATTTCATAAGAATGCTAATTCAAAATCATTCTAAGTAAATCATGAATTATAGCAAACACATCTAAAGTCTGTATTAGATCAACTTGGGCTAAAATCTAGGTCTCAGGATCTTAAATTTTAATATGCATACAAATCTCCTGTGATGCTTATGAAAAATGCCTCCTTGTAGGTCCCATCCTCACAGGCTCTGATATCTGGTGTAGGCACCTGAAAACTGTATTTCTAACAATAATTCTGATGCAGATGCTTAGCTGACCTATTTTGAGAATTATTTCCTTAGATTCTTCTCTCAGGAACAAAGTTCTGCCTTTCTACTTTGTAGCAGTTTCCTACCAAGCATAAAGTCACAATGAATAAAATGTGTATTAGCCAGTATAGGTGAGGTTATGCCACAGTAACAGATTAACCACAGGCCCTCGTGACTTAACACAATGGGAACTGCTTTCTAATTTATAGTACATATTCACCATTGTTGTGGGGTTGAAGAATCTTCTGTATGTGTGGTGGTGAGGGGACAGGAAACAGGGTATCTACCCCTCTTATTTCTCAGGGAGAAGAAAGTTTTAATTGTTATTCAAGACAATATTATATTTTTATTCCTATAAAGCCTCCTCCCCCACCCCCACCCCCCCGCCCCGAGAAGACTCAGCCAACAAATTTAGTGTTGGCAAAGTCTTAAAATATAAATGAAACTATAAATACCACTCTAAAACTACCTGAGAGCATCACAAAAGCTGAAAAGAATTTGGCACTTCATAGAATTTTAGTGTTCACATGTGACGATCTGAGCTGAATTTGGTTTTGTCTGTTTTCCAGAGTGTGGTAAACTTAGATAATGACTCTCTGGTTCAAGTTCAGGACTGGAATGGCAAAGAGACCACCATAAAGAGAAAGGTGGTGGATGGGAAAATGGTGGTGGTGAGTGAGCTGTTTGTCATTATTTTTTTCACCATCTGTATATTTTTCACCTCTATATAAAATCACTCAGATGTCTTGTTCTAAAATAATGGAAGTAAATGTGATTTTTCTTTTTCTCTTGCTTTATAAGAATGCGGGAAAACATTGGCAGATAAATGTATGATCATAAATCGTATAAAATGTGCATGGATTGAGGAACTAAAAAAACTAAAGAACATAAAAAAATGTGTTGCCTACTTCTTTGACTTGTCATAAACCAAAGGAAGCATGCATTTGTGCAATAAAGATTTCAGCAGGGATTTCGAGTTGTTGGTAATCCTTCACTCCATACCAGGATTAATTTCTCACTGTTTTCCAGTTCAACACCAAACACGTGGAAAGGAAATTTAAACTAATGCAAAGCTTAAGTGGTATCGACTTGGTGTATGGATGAGTTGACACAATTAAAAACTAACACTTCTGTGGTTGTTGTGTCTGCATGTTTTCATATATTATTTACCCACTCCTCACAATAATCCTGTGAGGTAAAACTTGTTAATCCATTTACCAGGTGAGAAAACTGAGATTCAGCCACTGACTTAACCTAAGGATATTCAGCTAGAAAAACATGGTGGTACTGGGATTAAAACCCAGGTTGGCTTCATTCCCAAGCATACTTTTTTAAGTCCACCCTTTTGTCTCTGAGGATGGCTTCTCAGTTCATCTTTCTCCCTACACAGTGGAGGGATATATGCCAATGATTCTTCTTCCCAAACTGCCAATTCCACAAAAATGAATAAAAAAGCCATTTTGGACATAATATCAAATAGTTCTAAGGGAATATCTAAGAATTGTGTGGAGGTAAAACACAAACAAACAAACAAACAAACAAACAAACAAACCTATCTTCATTTCTTCACATAAGGATATTTTTTCTTTCCACAACGAAGAGTACATTTTCCTTACAAAGTAGTAAGTAGAGGACTAAGGATACTTGATTTTATTGCTCCTTATAATGGCATAATCACCAAACAGATGGGTTTTTTGTTCATTAGGAAGAATATTAGATGCAGAATCTAAAATGTACATTTCGATCTCTGCCATTCAGTACTTAACATGACTTTGGATGAGTCATTTATCTTTTCCAAATTCAGTTCACTTGTCTTAAAAAAATGTAGAAATGTCTTCATGGTTTCTTTGAGAGAATTAAATGCCATTATGTATACATTAGTGCTCTAAAAACCATAAAATACTACATCAATGTAACAATGTCATTATTTGAAAATGTAGGGTTATGTGAAATCGCAAAAATGCTTCAGTTTAGGCATTTAAAATGTTTGAATAAAGACTGAAGTTTCTATAGTATATGTATTGTTTATATATATACACATACATTACATATTTACAATATATATGTATATACCGCACATACCCTATTTAATATATGATTTGTCATCCCCCCCACACACACACACATACACACACACATGTGGCAAAATCAGCTAACAGTTGATATCTATTGTTCTCTATGTAGATCTCTTTTCAAAACTCCTATGGATAGTACTTAGTTTGCATGGTTCTAAAAGTCAGTTTCACCAACAATACTGATGTATCTCATCCTTTGTCTTCTAGGAAAGTGCCGTGAACAATGTTATCTGCACTCGGACATACGAGAGAGTACAAACAAACTCAGCCTCCAACTCTTAAGCACTCCCAAATTGTGATACAGACTGCTGAGGCTGTTTAAATAAAACTCCAAAGTAAAATGTTATGACTGCTAATACGAGAGAGACTACGCACAAACGTTGGCAATTTTGGTTTCCCAGCTTTGTATACCTGTATTCTATGGTACTTTGGTATTGGCAACTATAGGAAACCAGAGTGATATTCAGGGCTGCTATAATATAATCAAAGTCACTTCATATTGATTTTTTTTTCTCATTTGACATACTATGTTAACCCTTTATATTCAACATGACCTGCCCTAATAGGGAAAATAATATTAATTTCCTAAAAAAACCCTTTTTATAGGGGCTGGAGATACATCAGAAAACAAAACACAAAAATCTATGCCCTGTTAGAGTTTACAATCAAGTTGCATTGGAGGCTGTTTGGGATGATTCAGATTTCAGATTTAACTTATTATAGTATATAATGATTTGTATTTAGAAAGAATTTTGTCCTAAATGCTCAGGATTTTTTCTTTCATAATTGCGTGTTTGTTGGTTGATCAGTACAGACATTTCAATTTGTACACAATTCTTAACATATGTACCGATAATCTAAAAAATCATGTAGTTGTGATTCTTTTCTAAAAGTTATTCTATGATGTCCAGCTTAAAATTTGGAGGCAAATTTTCTTTGACAGTATATCAGGTACCCATATCTTCAAGGCTGATGTGCTGTTACATTGTTAAATGCCATCAATTAACAATTTAATAGTATATACACTACATACTCATATTTTCAATCTTGCACAGCACATTAACAAAGTTACTAGGAAAACTGGATTACCACAACCAAGATGTTACAGAGTATACAAAATTCTCACAGGGAGAACCAAGATCAAAGAGTGGTCTTTTTTAGGAAACAATTCTACCAAAAACAACATCGGAATAGAAGTACTTTAAAATGTTCAATACATGTCATTTGCCAAGAGTGGAAGTTTGACTTCTTCTTTGCCAATTTTTACACCTTTTATTTCTCTTTATTTTCTGATTTCTGAGGCTAGGACTTCTAGTACTATGTTGAACAACTGTGGTGAGAGTGGGCATCTCTGTTGTGTTCCTGACCTTAGAGGGAAAGCTCTTAGTTTTTCCTCATTGAGGATGGTATTAGCTGTGGGCCTTTCACATATGGCCTTTATGTTGTTGACGTATGTTCCTTCTATTCCCTACTTTCTTGAGGGTTTTTGCCAAGAAATGATGCTGTATTTTGCAAATGCTTTTTCTGCATCTATTGAGAGGACCATATGGTTCTTATCCTTTCTTTTATTAATGCCGTGTATCACATTCATTGGTTTCATTCTTGGCAGATGACAGGATACTGTACGTGTAAAACCTGAAAGACTCCACCAAAAAACTGCTGGAACTGACAGGTGAATTCAGCAAAGTTGCAGGATATAAAAGCAATGTACAGAAATCGGTTGCATATCACGATAATGGAGCAACAGAAAGAGAAACCAAGGAATTGATCTCATTTACAATTGCACCCAAACCCCTAAGATACCTAGTAATAAACCTAACCAAAGAGGTAAAGGATCTGTATGCTGAAAAATATAGAAACTTATGAAAGAAATTGAAGAAGACACAAAGAAATGGAAAAACATTCCATGCTTATGGATTAGAAGAACAAATATTGCTAAAGCTATCTGCACATTCAATGCAACACCTATCAAAATAACACCAGCATTCTTCACAGAGCTAGAACAATTTTAAAATTTGTATGGAAGAAGAAAAGACCCCAAATATCCAAAGTAATGTTGAAAAAGAAAACCAAAGCTTGAGGAATCACAATTCCAGACTTCAAGCTGTATTACAAAACTATAATCATCAAGACAGTATGGTGCTGGTACAAAATCAGATACATTGATCAATGGAACAGAATAGAGAACCCAGAAATGGAGCCACAAATGTAGGGCCAACTAATTTTTGACAAAGCAGAAAAGAGTATCTAATGGAAGAAAAGATAGTCTTTTCAGCAAACGGTGATGGGAAAACTGGACAGCTACATGCAGAAGAATGAAACTGGACCACTTTCTTAACCATACACAAAAATAAATTCAAAATGGATGAAAGACATAAATGTGAGACAAAAAACCCATCAAAATCCTAGAGGAGAAAATAGGCAGCAACCTCTTTGATCAAGGCCAAGCAACTTATTAGACATGCCTCCAGAGGCAAAGGAAATAAAAGCAAAATGAACTATTGAGACCTCATCAAGATAAAAAGCTTCTGCACTGCAAAGGAAACAGTCAACAAAACTAAAAAGCAGTTTGACGGAATGAGAGAAGATACTTGCAAATGACATACTGGATAAAGTGTTAGTATCCAAAATGTATAAAAAGTTATCAAACTCAACACCCCCCAAAACCAAATAATCCAGTAAAGGAATGGGGAGAAGCCATGAATAGACACTTCTCCAAAGAAGACATCCAGATGGCTAATAGACACATGAAAAGGTGTCCAACATCACTCATCATCAGAGAAAGACAAATCCAAACCATAGTGAGATACCACCTCATACCTGTCAGGATGGTTAAAATTAACAACTCAGGAAACAACAGATGTTGGGGAGGATATGGAGAAAGGGGAACTCTTTTACACTGTTGGTGGGAATGCAAACTGGTGCAGCTGCTCTGGAAAACAGAGTGGAGGTTCCTCAAAAAATTAAAAATAGAACTACCTATGACCCAGCAATTGCACTACTATGTATTTATTTAAAGGATATAAAAATGTTGATTTAAAGGGGCACATGTCCCCCAATGCTTATAGCAGCACTATCAACAATAGCCAAACTATGAAAAAAGCCCAAATGTCCATCAGTTGATGAGTGGATAAAGAAGATGTGATATGTATATATATACACAATGGAATATTACTTGATCAAAAAAGAATGAAATTTTGCCATGTGCAACAACATGGATGGAACTAGAATGTATTATCCTAAGCAAAATAAGTCAGTCAGAGAAAGACAAATATCATATAATTTCACTCACATGTGGAACTTCAGAAACACAACAGATAAACATAGGGGGAGGGAAAGAAAAATAAGATAAAAACAGAGAGGGAGGCAAAACATAAAAGACTTTTAAATACGCTGGAGGGGAGGTGGGTGGGGGTTAAATGGGTGGTTAAAGGGCTAAATAGGTGATGGGCATTAAGGAAGTCTCTTGTTGGGATGAGCACTGGGTGTTGTATGTAAGTGATGAATCACTGGGTTCTACTCCTGAAACTAATACTACACTGTATATTAACTTACTTGAATTTAAGTAAATAAATTTAAAAAAATGTTCAAGACATGTTAAATGAACAACTGACTCCAAATTGCCATTAAGTATGCTTGGTGTTATAGGATATACGAATTACCCCATCTACAGAATGTTAGGTTGACACCCAAGATATTCAAAGCCTCCCATATTCAATTTCCTACCAGTTTCTGGTTGTGCCGAAAAATAAACAACCAGCAAATGATTTCACCTCTTTCAAAAAAGCATTTACACTTAAAAAATGGGATGAGGTGGGATTACCTCTTCCTTAAAAATGTTTCTGGAGCTACTAAAAAACTTGCATTTACAAAACAGTTGATAACAATATTCCTCTGGATTGCACAAAAAAGGAGACAGGGACCACTGATAAGACATGGGATATGACACTAGTCAGTCTTGGTCCTTTCTCTCCTGCTTCATCAGAGGCTGGACTCCTCATTTTTAGTTTCTCCATTTTCTGTAGGTACATCTTCTTTAGTTTCTTGGTTAGCCACTTCAGCCTGTTTCCCTTTGCTCTCCCTTTCCCTTATGTTTGCACTTTTCTCCCTGAAGATTATCCTTTCCTGGTGCCTTTCTTGGCTTCATTTCCGCTTTTGCAGGAGTGGGTTCAGCCAACAACCTCACCCACCTCCTCTGGGGCTCCTCCTTTGCCACCTCTCAGGCATCGTGTTGGCAGGGCGGGTGCGTGCAGGGTTCCTGCCACCCACAGTGCCCCGAAGCTGGGCTGACTCCTAAATGTCCAGAATTTGTGATTTAATGTCTAGATTATTACACCACCCACTTATGTGAACAGAACTTTGTAAAGAGGGGTGCCTGGGGGGCTCTGTTGGTTAACTGTCCAACTCTTGGTTTCAGCACAGGTTATGATCTCATGGTTTCTGAGTTTGAGCCCCGTGTTGGGGTCTGTTCTATCAGCATGGAGCCTGCTTGGGATTCTCTCTCCCTCTCTTTCTGTCCCTCCTCCACTCATGCCGTCCCTGCCTCTCTCAAATCAATAAACTTGAAAAAAAAAAAGAACTCTGTAAAGAAAAATTTTGTTATAAACTTCTATGCTAATGTCACTGAGCATTTTCTAACACAACCATTTATTTTGTCAGCCTTTCAGGGTTTTTCTGTTTCGTGCAGACCAGAGCAATTGTCTAAAATTAGCAGTGTTCAGCAATTTCAAATCAGTTGCACGAGGACTATTGGAAGTACTAAAGTATTTTCCCATCTTACAAGAATTGGTATGTAAGGAACTATTTTCTATCTTGGTTATTTAAAAAAAATTTTTTTTAATTTTTTTTTGAGAGAAAGAGAGGCAGAGTACAAGCAGGGGAGGGGTGGAGAGAGAGGGAGACACAGAATCGGAAGCAGGCTCCATGCTCTGAGCTGTCAGCACAGAACCTGGCACTGGGCTTGAACTCAGGCTCTGTGAGATCATGACCTGAGCTGAAGTCAGAGGCTTAACTGACTGAGCCACTGAGGCGCCCCTCTATCTTGGTTACTAATAAAAATTTATACTTAGATCAAACTTATAATTAACAAAATTTCATTGGATTATAGTTAGTTTGCAGTTCCTTTCTTTTTCTTTTTACCTTTCAGCCCCCTTCATCCACTGGGAGAAATGGGTGAAGAAGGTCAAAAGATGAAAAATTCAGTTTTTAATAAACTAGTTGGGACATAGTGTGTCTCACAAGTTATACCTCAGCCATATATGAAAGAATCATACACAGGCTTGGAAGTAGAGCAGCACCTGACAATCTAATATATTAGCAAACTATTTTTACCGGGAACACTATTAGTGCGGCCATCACACTAAAAGCCAACATGAAGAAGAATATTCAGTTTTTTTTAAACTTTTTAAAAATGCTTTTATTTATTTTTGAGAGAGAGAGAGAGAGAGAGAGAGAGTGAGAGCAGGGGAGGGACAGAGAGAGAGAGGGAGGCACAGAACCCGAAGCAGGCTCCAGGCTCCGAGACATCAGCACAGAGCTCGATGCGGGGCTGGAAATCATGAACCGTGAGATCATGGCCTGAGCCGAAGTTGGAAGCTTAACCAACTGAGCCACCCAGGTGCCCCAAGAATATTCAGTTTTATTAGCACCAAACCTCATGTAGTTAGGCCAGGGAGGGATTTTAGAAACTGTGGACCGATCACTGTGTAGATGGGGAAACAGACACTTCCACATTATCCTGATGGTTTCAGGAAGAACTGGAACCAGAAGCCATGTTTCCTGAATATTCACCTCACAACTATAACAAAAGCAGAAAGAGGTTCTCAGTGTACGATTATGAATCAAGTATAGCACTACATCAAACAAATGAATAAACAAGTTTCCCTTTATCTTAAAATGGTGGCAGGATGCCATAGTTTGGTCCAGGGAATGACACGGAGTTTGTGACCTGTCACAGCTTAATTTGCCTGAATTGATACACAGGGGATCTTGGAGCCCTTGTAGAAGTGAGAGAGTGCTTGTTTATTGTTTGGTGTACTGAAATTCTGATGAAAACAATGGAAAGCATAGAAAAACAATCCTCTGGGCTGCTTTGACTGGACAGACAGGATCACCGGTAGAGGCCAAGGGAGCTCTTTTCCTGCGGCCCCGTGTATGGCTTGGGGATAGGAGCAGCTTGCTATAGCGACCCAGGGGACAGCTTGCTGCACAGAGATGGGAAAGAAGCATTCCCT